TGGCGGCGCGAGGAAGCGTGTCAAGTCCTCTGCGTCTGTGCTCCTCAAACTGAGGCTTTTTCGTGTCCTCTTGCATGCAGAATCACTTTTCATCCTCATCACCTCTGAGAAATCCAAAAATATCTAGTTTTGGAATTCTTCCGGTCGAAATACGGTAGCTCAAAAGTTAACGGTAAAAAATGTTTCGAAATATCATATCTTGACGAAAAATCAACGAAACTCAACCAAAATTTGTCACAAGGTGTGAGACAGATCATCACAAATTTCAGAAATCTAACATCTCACGCTCGCTCATTACGGCTCATACTAGAGAATTTCTCCAAAAAAGTTCAAAAATCAGTACTTGAAGTACGAACCCGTCGCTTCCTTTTAATTCTATCAGAACCACATAATATTAGTTCACTCTTTGAGCTTAATTTGAAGGAGGCGAATTTTCCATCCAAGACTGGAAAATAGTGAAAAAATGTTATTTTTAGTAAAAATCACATATAATTTTCTTATTTTTCATCGTTTTGGCTTGAAATTAACAAAAGCGTAATCAACACACAATTTGACATCTAGTAGGCCATTTCCACAACAAAATAGGAAAAAAGGTTTCACAAAAAAAAATCACGAAAAAATTTCCGCATCATCCGCCGCAGACATCCGATCTAACCTAGCCCTAACTCAACTCATTCTCAGTACCGTTTGTGTGGGTATCAAGTCCACACTTCCTACTGGTGTGGGTAGTTACGTCCACACCTCCTAATGGTGTGGGTCATCACGTCCACACCTCCTAATGGTGTGGGGAATCACGTCCACACCCCCTACTGGTGTGGGTCACCACGTCCACACCTTTTCTCAACTCTTACCTTCTCATTTGGTGTGGGTACAAAGTCCACACCGTTTTGCGAATGTCTGCTCTGGAATCATCTGCGGGCGCCCTCCGAGGGACTCGAACCTGCGATCCGAGAATCGAGGCCGAGCGAGCAACCACTCTGCCACGGAGGGCCCGCTGGTGCATAGGAGTCGCGGGCTATATGCCACTCCGTGGCGGCGCGAGGAAGCGTGTCAAGTCCTCTGCGTCTGTGCTCCTCAAACTGAGGCTTTTTCGTGTCCTCTTGCATGCAGAATCACTTTTCATCCTCATCACCTCTGAGAAATCCAAAAATATCTAG